GAACACATAGTCGGTTACCCTTGAAGAGGTAATCTTGCTGGCGATGATATTGCTGAAAGGCTTGATTAGGAGTGGCTTGCCAAATGTTGCTAAAATCAGGATCATCCTCATACAACTCCTTGATCACTTCAAATCTAGTGACTTTCATCTGTAAGGAAGTAAGCAAGGCATGTCGGCGACTCAGAGCATCAGCTACACGATTCTGGACTCCAGATTTGTATTTGAGGAGGAAAGGATAAGCTTGTAGAAATTCACTCCAAGCAGCATGTCGATGACTGATCTTCTGTTGGGAATTCAAGTGCTTCAATGCCTCATGGTCAGAGTGCAAGATGAATTCTTTTGAAAAAAGATAATGACTCCAATGCTCCAAGGCTCGAACAATTGCATAGAATTCTTTGTCATAAGTGGAATATTTGAGCTTTGTGTCATTCAACTTTTCACTGAAGAAGGCAATGGGTCGTCCTTCTTGACTTAACACTGCACCAATTCCAACATTAGAAGCATCACAATCTACTTCAAACATCAAGTCAAAGTTGGGAAGTGCAAGTACAGAGGTTTTAGTGAGCTTCCTCTTTAATTCTTCAAAACTCCGTTGGGCTTTGCCACTCCATGAAAATTTGTCACCCTTAAGGCTATCAGTGATTGGGGCAACAATAGAACTAAAATTCTTGATGAATCTCCGGTAAAAAGATGCCAGGCCATGGAAGCTTCGAACATCATGCATCGATGTTGGTGTAGGCCAGTTAACAATAGCATCAATCTTACTGGGGTCCATCTTAATACCTTGAGCAGTGATGATGTATCCAAGAAATGTCACACTTGTAGTGATGAATGAACATTTCTTGAGATTAGCATAAAGTTTCTGCTCTCTAAGGACTTCAAAAACTTGCCGGAGATGGTCTAGGTGCTCCTGTCCATTCTTGCTATATACCAGGATATCATCAAAGTAAACCACAACAAATTTCCCAATGAAGAGTCGAAATACCTGGTTCATAAGGCGCATGAAAGTGCTGGGAGCATTAGACAATCCAAATGGCATGACCATCCACTTGTACAAACCATCTCTAGTTTTGAATGCTGTCTTCCATTCATCACCGGGACGCATTCGAATCTGGTGATAACCACTTCTCAAATCAATCTTTGAGAAGACAGTAGCTCCATGCAATTGATCAAGCATATCATCAAGGCGTGGAATTGGGAAGCGGTACTTGATAGTGATTTTGTTGACTGCTCGACTATCTACACACATTCTCCAAGTTCCATCTTTCTTTGGGACGAGTAGCACAGGCACAGCACATGGGCTAACGCTTTCCTTGACAAGTCCTTTTTCCATCAGTTCTTTGACTTGTCGTTGAAGTTCCGCATACTCTTGAGGGTTCATCCGATAGGCAGGCTTGTTTGGGATGACAGATCCTGGGATGAAATCAATGGCATGCTGAATGTCTCTCATTGGTGGTAATCCAAGAGGGATCTCGTCAAGAACAACATCAGAAAATTCTTCAAGGAGAGATCGAATTTCTTCTGGAAAAGGGCAGGTGGCATCATTCACTTTGGATAATAGTAGGAGACATGCTATCCCCGACTCTTGGTGCAACCTCTGAAAGGTTGATCTGGAGATTAAAGCCTTGTCCTCATCCTTCTTTTCAAGTGTTTCTTCAGGCTTCAGGGGAGTGAGCTTGACCTTCACACCATCTTTCACAAACGAGTAGGTGTTGGCATGGCCATCGTGGATAGCCTTTTGGTCAAATTGCCAAGGGCGACCAAGTAACAAGTGACAAGCATCCATAGGAATAACATCGCACCATACTTCATCTTGGTACCTATTACCAATAGAAAAAGACACAAGGCAATGTTTAGTTACTTTTACCTCGTTTCCTTTTCGTAGCCATTGTAGCTTGTATGGATGGGGATGATCTTTGACAGGTAGACCTAGCTTCTCAACCATATAATTTGACACAACATTCTCACAGCTTCCACTGTCAATGATGACATTGCAGACTTTCCCTCGAGAAGTACATCTGGTGTGAAAGATGTTATGTCGAAGCCAATCTTCATCCTTGGTTATGGTAGCATGTAGGCTACAACGCACAACCAAAGATTCTCCATGGTCAGCTGGGATGAGTTCTTCCTCAAGCTGGGGTGACTCAGTTTCATCATTTTGCTCCTTTTTTGCTTCATCTTCTAAGGCTTCATGAATTTCTCCTCCGATAATGGTGACAACTCTCCTATTTGGACAATCGGAGGCTATGTGGCCAAATCCTTGACACTTGAAACACTTTCGAGTGTTAGATTGAGCTGAACGGCTCGAGCTGACTTCCTTCTCAGTCTTGGCAGGGGTCTTAGCAACAGTTTTTGAGGCTTGAGTCCCTCTGCTGGCTCCAAAATCCCACGGTTTTGAAGTACTAGGGATATTCTTTTTTGAGATTTGCTTTTCAACCCTCAATGCTAGTCGAATTACATCATCCAAAATCCAATATTGTTGAAGTTGAACAACTTTGGAAATGTCATAGTCCAACCCTCCAAGATATTGAGCTATGGTTTGCTCGTCCTTTTCCCGAACATCACATTTCATCATTAATTGTTCGAACTCCATAGTATATTCTTCCACAGTCAAATATTTTTGCTGCAAGTTATGAAATTTAACAAAATTATCTTGGTAGTAACGGTCAGGTAAAAACTTACGAGTGAGTTCCCGACGCATTTTCTCCCAAGTTCTAATTTTGTTGCGGCCTTCTCTTTCTCGACTGCGTTTGAGATTCTCCCACCAAATGGATGCATGTTTCTTTAATTTGATGGCAACGAGCTTCACACGCTTGTCGTCAGGAATATCCTTGAGTTCAAACACACATTCCACAGTGTACAACCAGTCGATAAATTCATTTGGTTGAAGGCGACCTTCAAAATCTGGAATATCGATTTTGATGCCAAGGTCAGTGGATTTGGGAGCAGCATTTTGTTGGGGACGTTGTCCACGACGAACTCTTTCTACTGATGATGAGCTTTCATTATCCCTTAAGTGATGGAAGGGATTCTCGTCATCAGTATCTTCCTCTGACTCATGTGGTTCATCTTGCGGGTGTTGAGCTTGTTGTCCCTCAAAAGCTTCGAGTCTTTCTTGAAGCCTTTGAATTTGTTGACGTAGTTCTTCCATTTCTATGTCTCGAACAGCTCGTTGACGAGGAGGATTTTGTCTTCTAGGAGGCATGATGAGTTTAGGTTGGTAAGGGGCTTTTTGGAAAGTTAGTGTTTGAAAGTGGGGGTAATTTGAAATTTATAAAATTATTGGATCAATCTGTAAGGAAAAAATAAGTTGAGGGACTTGATGATGTGGCAAAAGAGTGCGGCTGCGGTGATGACGTGTCAAGTGACGTGGCTGATGATGTGTCAAGTGACGTGACACAGATGACGTGGCAAATAGATGATGTGGCAATGACTGGATGATGACGTGTCGATGACGTGGCTGATGACGCGACAATGACGTGGCGAATGAAAGGTTGAAGATGACGCGTGAACTTCACGCGATTTGCAGTGGTGCGAGTGGCCGGTGCGTGAGACAACGGCGGAGGCACGTGGAGGCGCGTGCTACCTTGTTCGGCTACCGGGTTTTCACCAAAATGCTCATAATGACATGCAGACTCCAAATATATTGGCTCTGATACCAAATGGCATAGGAATCGATACCAAAACACCGATTTTGGCGAGATTTAAAATCCCACTACGATGAATTCGATTGCCAGGATCACCACTTAAGTTGGCAAGATCTAAGATACAGAGATAAATTGAGAGAATCCACTCTCAAGAAACTCACTCAAAACAGAGGAGAATTGGAACTTCATTAATTGAAATTTTGGATTACAACTTATGCATACAATGACGGGAACATAGCTATTTATAAGCAAAATCTAACATAAGGCAATAAATGAAAAGTGAAAATGTAGTTGGGAGTTAGCCATCTTTATGGAATTTAGTGGTCACTTTTGACAAAATTGCACCGGCCTATTTTGGAGTCTGCAGAGGGTAGTCTGAGTTTTGTTGACTTGCAATCCTGGTGCACTTTCTTGGTGCTTTCCCCAGTGCAAGATTCCTCATCGATATATATATATATATATATCAAAATATAAATTTTATTTTTTAAATATAATCAACTAATATTTAAATACAATGAACAAAAATTTAAAAGTTAATACTCCATGCATATTTTACATTTGAATTATCTTTTTTATCACAATCCATATCCTCATTAAGTGTAAAGAAATTTAAGTCATCCAAAGAACCTATTTCAAATATAAAAATTTAGATTAAAAATTAACTACTTAATTAAAAAACAAAAAAAATATACCATAAAAAAAATATAAGCTTAATACTTTTAAAGTTTGTTTTTAACCAATATTAAGGACACATCAACCTTTGTATCGTATCTAGTTCAAACTTATTATGATGTGGGCTAATAACTCTTCCACAACTACTAAAAGCTAATTCTAAAGTAGGGGTATCAAACAAGAGAGTTAGAGAGCATAATTAGAAAAAAAAAAAATTGGAACTTCACCTTAGTTGTCAAACAACATCAATTTTTAAAGCAAAACTTGATTTAATTTTTAGCAATAAGTCTTGCCTAAGATGCATATAACCCAAGAAATTATGTAGGTCCTTAAAACGCCATTATTTTTCTATTTATTTTAAATATTGTTATTTATATTTTCTTGTCTATTAACACTTAATTGACTGCTTTAAGGAGTGAAGATTTTGCATGTCCATAATTAAAGCAACATCAAGAACAAATTGCTTTGCACTGGGGAGGGAG